TAATCCTTATTCTAAAGCAGCAACGGATGTATTATACGTTTTTAAACACACGGAAGTCGCAGCCATGTTATTCTAATGTTCTATCGTAGTAGCGCGGTAGATAAATCGTTGTCTGACACGATCTCTTTGTCCCGTCAATATGTCGGCTATGGGATGTGTCGCGTTTGCTGGTGTTGACAAAATGTCACAATTTCACTGCTCGCTTTAATTACCAGTTTACATTGACAGAGAATGTACGCCCGTTGTAAATATTCTTGCCGATTGAGAGAGAGCATGTCGGCTGATTGTGAAGGATGAATGTAATTAGTGCAGTAGAAATGCATTCATCTTTATTTTATTTATAAATACAACGGCTGTTGTAATTTCATTCATACGTAAATATTAAAAAGTTAGATAAAGATACGGAAAAACGATTACAAAAACGGATGATAGGAGCACTAAAACCCGGTGCGCCGACCTTACGGGAGTGGGATGATAACTTAAGTATTAAAAAGTGTCTTTGTTTTTCCCTTTTTTTTTTATAACATAAGGTGGCAAACAAGCAAGCGGTCACCTGAATCCACCGAATTGGAAAGTGACAGCTGCCCATAAACATCCGCAATTGCAGATGCGTTGCCTACTGGAAGAGGAGACGCACATAAAAAGGATATTTTCCCATCTTATGCGTCTCTTCCAGCGTCAAATCCACTTTTCCTTCCCATCCTTTCCTATTAAGCAAGGATGGAAAGGGAAAAGGACTAAAATTGGGCCTGCGGCACCACACTTTACCTCTGTTTTCTGTATGGTCGTAGTATTACACCGAGCGAGCCGACGAATTCGTACGAATATGTAAAGCGGGCTCTACCACTGTTAAGTAAATTTTCGTATTTAAAAAATCATTACAAATATTAGCTGTCGTTCTCGACTCCGTCCGCGTGCTTATAAAAAATATCCTAGTCACTCGCTGATAACATAGCTTTTTAATGGTGTAACAATTTTTTAAATCCGCAAAGTATCTAGTTTTTCGGTCATTCAATGCATACAAAAACACAAATCTTTTTTTTTAATTATATCAGTATAGATTTTATTCTTCATAATGACATCCAATAAGTAAATGAAATTATCAAAATATTATTACGTCAACTTTACACCTTATCGTATTATTTATTACAATCCAGGTACTGTTTGTAACATTATTGTCATCTATCTTCTATCTTCTATATATATGTACTAAAATTGGAGTGTCTGTTTGTTCATCATAAGAAAAATTCCAGATTTCGGTAAGATGTATGTGCGTTGCTGATAATGAAAACGCATTAATTTTTTTTTATCGGTTTGTTCGCAAGCCATGATTGTTTCGGGTAATCTTCGTAACACCTGGGCCGATTTCGAACGGACTTTCACTGTAAGGTAGCTAACATAGACGGGCATAATATAGGCTACTTTTTATTTTAATATTGCGTGGACGAAGTCGCGGGCAACAGCTAGTTGTATAATTTTGCCCTAAGCACCTTCTTTTAAGAGTGAATATTCATATTTTTATTATCTAATCCGACCTTACCTATCGGATCAAGATAAGAAATAATACTTTAGCCTTTTAATCAGCGATAAATCGCAATAATTATTAAATACGTCATATCATTTATAATTCTTTTAATTGATTAGTACTGATGACATAATGTGGATGATGATAATTAAAAAAATAATAAAAAAACCATGATACATCCTGAGATTTAATAAGTTTAAAAAGAACTCAATAAATTATGATAAAGTAGTTGTTATTTATAAAACTGTTTTGGGTAGATTTACCTTATATCGTAGTGCCTTTTACGTTTTAATCGCCACAAATGTATATAAGCAATGTAAGAAGTTTAAGGTAATATCTATGGAAAAGTTTCCATAGAATTAGGAAACTTTTCAATGGAATGTTCCTTGAATTTGGAAGAAGAATATTATAGATGGAATGGAAAGAAGAAGGAAAGGTGCTGCAAGTCCATCTCTTTGTAAATATCTTTCTGAATCAATTTAATTGACCGCTACGTGACCTCTACTCATATCTAGTATATACTTTGGCCTCTCATTGTCTCCTTAACGTAAGATATCCTTATCAGCCAAAATTTTCACCGAGCATAAAGCAAGTCATGTTTTATATCAAAGTCCATTTAGTCCGGGATTAAATAGACATTATCTTGTCACATCAACTTAACATTTCCGACGTGGTCGAATGCAAGCATGTTTGTGCACTCAAAACAAAATCCATTTTGCGTAAGCATTAATTCTGATTATTCCCAGCCGTCACCACGCTCTGTCCCCACGTGAGGATAAAATTTCATATGTCCCACCTTTTTCCACCATCACCTATGAATTAAAACAAGTTGCCGTCCCCTCGTCGCAAATGGTGGGACGGATGAATCTTTTTATTCTCACGAGTCTCCACGTGGGGACAGAGCTGGGTGACGGTTGGGAATAATTAATTAATTCGGTAATGACTCATTAAATTGATCGAAGGATTTTTATTAAACCTAGATTACAATTTATTTAAGAGATCGATTGTCTACGATATGTTAAACTTGGTGGAACAGATAGAGCTCGGACCAGTATTAGCAATATGAGTGATACGACCACTACCATAACAGCCACAGAAGACAGCCGTGAAGTGGAAGTAATTCCGGGTTCAGTCTGATGAATGTGTCGGAGGCCAATAAATAATCCTCATATCCTCACTACCCTTATGCTCATTCTTAGTTATTTATTACCTAATAATACTAATATAAAAATATCGAAACAGATGTATAGCCACTGACTCTACCACTTATTAATCAATATTAATAATAGTAATCGATTTAGGTATTTTAATTTTAAGGAAAAATAGATTCTAATTTGTTTTTTCCATTCTTACGTCACAAATATTAGTTGTTATCTTGAATGTTAAACAAGTCTGGTACTAAAAAGACAACAAATAAGATCGCAAATTAATTTGCTTTGATTTGATAACGAAAAATAGATTAAATCGTATACTTTGGATTACATTGCAGATAAAAATCATGAATTAAGTAAGAAATATCGGTAATATTTTATAAAATGCTGTCAGATTAAGATAATTAGATTACGATGTCGGTATATATTTGATAAGAATATATCCGATCACATGATAAACGAAAGGTACGTAATGACTATCATTTTTTTCATGTACGCCATGAATAATCCCTCATCATTACCGTCAACACCCTCATCAGCATCATCATTATCAGGTCGTCCACTGCTGACCGTACGCCTCCCCCATCGATTACAACGATGACCAGTTCTGTGCCGCCGGACCTGGGTACGTCGTTTAACTACGACCAGATCACCGGAGCCCCTACACTACAGTGAAAATACTGCGATTACCAACCCGCCTCCGAGCGTGGCGATTATGGCAAACTCCTGCTCGAATGATTGCTGCTTGCTGCATGAATAATCCTCCTCCTGTAAAATCATAATCCTCCTAAATATACGTGTATGGCAGCCTTATTTAATTACATGATTTTATATAATGTAACCAGTTATGTTTTTAACATTGACAAGCTAGAATAGGTATTATAGACCGTTGACTTGTTTATATGATTAACGATTTTGTACAAGCATTTGCAAAGCAACAAAGTTGTGACATGAACAAAAAGTATAATAAAGGGGAAGTCAAGATTTTACACATGACGATATTTATGGTTTTGTAAAGAATAGAGACATTGTTAGCACGTGACAAAAACAAAAGTACCTACCACTTTGTTTTAACATTAAACAAAAATATGTGGAGGTTCTGGCAACACTATTTAATGACATTTGTTTTTTAGATAAAACAATTTTGCTGATGTATAAATCTTAACACCATAAAAATGAATTTTAATCTGTCTTCCTTGCATAAAATTTAAGAATATTACACAGATATAAAAGCTTTTGAGGACAAGACATAATTTGTTTGTACAAACATGATATGATTGGCTCAACGATTGTTGTGTACATGAAAATTGGAACAACGCCATAGTTAAAAAAGTAGGAATCAAGATTATATCTAACTACTCTGTTAAGGAAGTAGTGTTCAGGTTTAGAACTTTTTTTTTGCAAATACATCGTGCACTTATTAATATAAAAGACATAAATATATATTGTATTATGCCAGTTTTCTCAATAGTATTTACGCATGATTAAAAAAGTAGCTTCGTAACTGTTAGTAGCTTCGTAATTGTTAGATGAAATTGTTTCATTGACCAACGAGCTGTTTAAAAGTAATTACAAAGCACAGAGACAACACAAATGAATCAAATTAATTATGTTTACCAGCGCAGCAAATGCAGAGAATCTATTGGTAAATTCTTCCTTTACGCATAAATAGATAATTAATTAAATGGCTCGCTAGACTAATTGTATGCTTATAATTATTTGCATACGATAATATGTAAATCCATAGTAGTTTTGTTAGGTACTTACATTATTGTGTTCGCAATAGGTATTGAATTTTGTGATAAAAATGAATAAATATTATTTTAAATCTAATTATTTTGATTGAAATGAATGGAAGCACATCAAAACTTCTGGTTTTTTCTAAATCACAAATACGTTATAAGATAGTCTACGGAAGATTTAATACTGCCGCTGGCGATTTTTACTTGTTTCTCAAAATCAAATTACGTCTTGTATACCTACCAACGCGTAGGTAGGTAATTGATAAAATTGTTTGGGCACTCAATTAACTTAATTCTTGAAATAATTATGATAACTTTGCCTATTCCAATTCGATATCACTTAAGCATTATCAAAAGTTTCAGTTAATCGCAAATTGAACCGCCTTGTGCTTGTAATCTGACAGAATTCTCATCCAATCATATGCCAGTATGACGTGATTTTCTGGTCTTTTGATTGGTGGGTGATGACGCGATGTCTATTTCTGTGCGCAGCGAGTGTGCGCACGAGGAGCGCTGCGCATGTATGTGTGGGCTCACGCGATGCGCATGTGTGGCCGTGTTGTCGCGGCGCGCGGGCTCGCGGCGCGCTCTCTCTGTTTACCGCGCGGTACTACAGCCGGTGCGCGTGTCTCGTTCCAATCGAATTTTCCGGCGGAGGTAGTTGCAGCAGCGTTCCATGGTGTTATCCCTTGCTATCGGTGTTAATTCATGCTGATGATATTCGATTTAACGATCGGAAACGAGCGTACCTATTTCAGGCGCGAGACATAAAAATTATAGTTGTTTTCGGCGGATGCGATGAATAAATTTTGCAAATCGAGTCTGTGTGTCGAAAAGAAGGTTCGTGAGCACTATGTTTTGAACGGGCGGCGTGTTGTGGCCGTGCCGGGTGGCGTGGATGCGATCCGGCTCTCTGAGGACGTCTCGGTCTTCGCGAGACTACAGTGCCACCGACCGGACTGCGGTCTGGAGTTGTCGATTCGGACCGGGGATGAATCGCCGCCGACTCTGAGAGTGGACACGTGCTAAGGTAAAGCCTGCATCCTTGTTACTATCTCGATCGGATGATTTTTTGTTACACATCTGCGAATCTCACAGATTTGCTTATCATCGCTTTTTACTGTAACAATAATATTTATATGATAAGGCGATAAGGCAACATTTTCTTTCCTTTCTAGAAACAATAATCTTAATTCATATAACTTACATTCCTTAAGTAACCTAATAAGATACTGTAGTTCCAAGAAATATTGACCTATCAATTGAGAATAAGCATATAAGATTGACAATTAAGCGAGTTTGACCACGACCGGCTGGCATTTCAGCTTACATAAGTGATAGAGCCATGCGGCGGCTGTTGCTTGTATGGTGTGGCGCGGTCGGGGAAGGACCACGAAAAATACCACCAATGTCTCAATATTCTGTAGTTATTACAGTTTAATTTTAGATTAATCTTCTCATGTCCTTTTCTACACCACACACTACACCTGGCACGAGGTATATTAGAAACTATATGCAGATTTTTTTTCAAAGCAGTTCGTTCTTTTGACATGTCTCCTATTAAATTATATGCTAAGGAGAGGAGCAGAGCAGTGGTCAAACCATCTGGTCGTTGTTTGCTATCAAATAATATGTTTAGAATCTTGAAATGGATTTACTGTTTATAACTTTTGTTTCTTTTGAAGACCCGTAGGAAATGGTCCTTCCTTGAAAAATTTGAGAAATCGTGGGAATGCATACTTTAGTTTTAAAAAGACGTTAGCGTTTAAATAAGATTTCGCTAACAGAAACATTGGCGAATGTTTTCCGTCGGCAAAATGTTTGCGGTGTAACTAACTGCAAGCATTAAGACGGATAATTTTAAACATGAAAACTGTTTTGTTGACGAACCGATGACCTTGAGGATTGTTACTTAGTGCGGTTATTGTTTTACATATATCGCGTTTACACCTGTGCTAGTTGCCCAATGTCCGAACGAATGCGTTAAAATTATTGAACAAACTAACAATTTAAAATTTATTTTCTAGGAAATAACAACAAAACTACTGCCCTATTATATATTACAAATAAATCGATACCTACACGGCGAACAAATTTTTGATGGAAAATTTTCAAAAATATTTCCTCGGCCTGCGTCAATAGAAATGCAAAACAGGGTTTTATACTTCAATATTTTAACACAATGCCTACGTGATAATGGAACTGAATAGCGATTCGCATTCAATGTCGTCGGTGAGGCGAAAAAAGATATTTTTGCATACACAAAACATGCACATTACTATGTCAATTGTATCTTTGTAACAATAAAAGCAATGTCTTGTTAAACAGGTATGTTCTGGCATCCTTATTCTGTATCTCTTATCTATCGTAATAATCCAATTGTAACCCTACGCAATTTATCATATTTCACTTTCATACGAATTGGTACCGTCAGCATTTTGTAGACCTTACTACTAAGAAACATGTCATGCAATGATAGAGTTCATTTAAATTATTGTTATGACAAGAACGCATAAGAAGTCAGGTCAAAACAGTCAGGTTCAAAAATTAGTTTTTTTACAAAGTTATTTTTCTTTGGAAACGCTTCGACACTTTTCCAATTTCTAGTATTCTGTGGATAGGAGAATATGCAGTGTTTCAGTTATTTCATTCGATTGAAACCGAATGAAAAGAAAATAATTTGTTGTTACCTCAATACTTGGACATCGAAGCATGTTTTGGGTTAATCATTTATACAGAAGTCCCTTGTTTCGCCTTCGTTTTCGTCACGCGTGCGTGGCTATGGTAATTTTATAGCGTGTTTAAACAATTACACTCACGTTCTGTTTCCGCTAAATTAACCAGAAGGGTATGGGAACAGTCTCTTACTTGTGTGTTAAATCCTTATCAAATGCGACACAGGTTCACCCTTTTACGTAGGATCATTGAAACTAAAATAGCAGTGTAATGTACTGCTCTTCCATACATCTCTTTAACCGTCATATCTGAATTTACACTCTTCTTAAACATATCATTCACACAATCCATATATACATACTTTTTTCAGTCTTCCTTTACCCTAGTAACAATCCATATTTAATCTTAATACCCTTATCTATCTATCTATCTCTTCTGTGCTTAGAGTATGTATGTTCGGTCGGTCGGCACAATATGCATTGCTCTCCCATACATCTCTACCGCTATATCAAAATTTCCCTTAAGCATATCCTATTTCACACAATCCATCCATACTTTCCTCTGTCTTTGTCTACCTTTTTTGTAATGCACATTTAATCATTTATCAAACAGTATGTTTTTGGACAGGGTGTAAAAACAACAGCAAGCGAACGTATAGTAAAGATTGGGACATATAAAACAAAAAATAGAATATTAAAATTCATACTAAGAGTATCTGTAAACGATTGTATTATGTCGTAATTGTAGTCAATAATTAATCGATTTCTATGTCCCGACGGAATCGTTTTTTATATTGACCTAGATACGGTCGACATAAAAAAAAACTCATATGCGCATATTAAAATATACATATATCAACCGCAATTTATATCCCAAGTGTATAACCCAATTTCATTTTATACACTTATTCTAAGAAAACGCTTGTGAAGTTGCGAGATATAGGTTCTACATAACTGAAATATCAAATTATATTTTTATAATTTTCACCAAAAACCACAGTTACTATATACTTTTAAATTAAGCATTGTCATTCGCAATAGAAACCGAGACATTTATTCTTTTTAAATTAAATTTATCAAATCTAAATAAAGACATCAATATAAAAAAATACATTGTAACAATCGTATATTCGGTGCGCAGATATAAATTGGGCTTGAACAATTCATGAATGAGTTTAGTCGCCCACACTGACCGGCTGTTTTTTATACCGGGTTGGTATCACAGTCCGAAATAATTATTATAGCAATGCATCGCGTACTGGTTCCTAATAAAGGTCGCATTACAGGGCTATCGACTGCACATTCCCACGTTCGAATCGTATTAAAATAAACAGCAAAAAAGTAATTTCTACCTTTATTTTGTAATACATTTATCTTACAATTTGAACACAATATATGAAATATTGTGGCCGCCATTTGAAGTTTCTTTGTTTAACTTTCAACCCTAATTGCTTTAAATTTTTGTACTTAAAGCGATTTTTATACGATTATTCTAATAAGATTTTATTACACTGTTCCAAAATCGTTGAAAAAATGTGAAAACAAGTTTCTTAATTTTGCCAACCCTAATCACTGCTCAACAGTTCCACTCTATGCGTCAACGAAACACAAAAACTAAGATAATAAATGTCCATTACTTCATTATGTAATGTTCTCCTTGTGTTATGAATGAATGTGCTTTAAGGCTTACGTGTTAAAGTTAAAAATAATCAAACTGGAGCATTTATTATTGTGCGCTATAATTTGGAGGACGGATGAGTGTTGATCATTGCACTGTATTCACAAAGTTTGAAAATAGATTTTCTTCCAAGACTTTCCGAAATTCTTAATAAAAGTTTTTATCTGTGGAGAATCACATTAGCTAATCTAAGGTGCAATGGTGTAGCAGAGGCAACTGTAAAATCTTCGACGATATATTATCTACCGTACCGCAACAAGTTTTGCAGGAAGGACGTTTTGGTCGGGTCCAATTGTAGCGACTATTTCTGTCGGCAAGTCCAGCGCACACACAAATGTGAAGTAACCACGAACAGAGACGATTTTAATATGAAAATCGTATGTGATTTGCATGTCTTGATAAACTGTTTTAAAAAATACTTTCCACTAAGTGTTAATTTAGATTAAAGATTTGTATTGAAATAACTCTTAAACTACTGGGCCGATTTTAAATATCCTTTTACCATTAGAAAGGTAATTTATCTGTTAGTAACATAGGTAACATGAGTAACATTTTTTAAAGCTTTTTGCATATGTTAGTACAGTACATTTCAAAGACTATTCCAAGCATAGAAGTAACATTACTAAGTTATACTGAGTGTATTCTAATAAACCAATGTTCGAAAAAGCTAGTTGATGATCAGTTTGTACCTAATTTGGGCAATATGGTTAACATTTATCAAAGAGTATTCACACAACAGATCCGGTCTCAACATTGTATTTAAAATTGTAGAGTGCACACATGATAGCAACACGGTAGTCTTCCCCACGCATTCACAAGGCCTACACACATATGAATGAATGTTAATTAGTCAATGTTTTATGTTGTTTGTACGTTACACACTCATGCACAAATCGCATATTATGTTATGATTCTTTACCAACTCCAACCCATTAGACGACAAATTAACCTTAAAGATGTATTCCTTAAATTTCTAACATCATTTTAACTTACACACATCTGTATCTCACATACACGGTTAGTTCCTTAACACATATTTTGTAAAGTGACATAAAGATCACAAAAGTATGTCTTAAGGACAGAGTCTTTAAGTTTCTTTTCATTTAACGCTAGACGTGTGTTAACGCAGACGTAAGAATAATTTAGCTAAAACTTTTGTTATTTTTTATCACAACTCCAACACCTAATCATTTCCTACAAACGGCGGAAGTCATGCGTTTACAGAAATAATAAATTAAAGAACAAACATATTCGGTATTCAATTGAGTTTACTATGACCTTGGAGGAAGGTCAAAATGGCGGCTGCATTAGGGTCCCTATTTCGACAGTCATAACAAATTTAGAAATGTTTGTTTTTGTAGTGCGTAATCAGTAATTGACGAATGGTCGTTGAAGATGTCGAGTGGGTGTTGAAGCATGAGAGGTGTCAATAATGCTATAACTTAACGATGATTTTGAAAGGAATTTTTTAAGTGTACACAGAATCGATTAGTCGATACATTTCAAGATGATGAATATATTAGCACCTTTAGATATCTTATATACCTTATTTATAAGAATGGCATATTTTTTATTGTTTCAGTCTTGAGTGAAAATATTTAGTGTATTCATATTAATGTTAAAGGTATATGCGATTTCTTTTTATATTCAATTGAAAGTAAGCTTCTCGTACACTCT